ATAGAAACTAATGAAGGGAAGCATGTATTTTATTATATTGCCCTTAATGTGACTGTTTTGCTTTACTTAGTTTTTGGCTTCTGTTAGCACTGTACCGATTCTTTTCTGAGCCTAGGCACATAGAAAATCAGCATGAGGAGTGCTTATTTTTGTGGTTGTGAAGTTTGCTTGTTCATGGATATTAACATAATCAATGTATGCTATTTATTCATTCCTGTCTTCATTCATTCATTCCCTGTCTCATTCCAAAAATAAGAGGTATGTTTTTCCTCTCAACTCCCGTGGCTTGCAGGTCCCACTAGCGTCTCTGTTAGTGTTAAGCTAACTAAACCTATTTTCAGTTATGGAGAAGGACGTAAGTTTGTGGCATAACATTTGCAACAGAGAAAAATAAAATTGATGAAGAACTTAAAGATTGTCCAGACAAATTTCTGGTGACTGTCACCAGGATACCTGGCTCATCTAAACTTCAGTGTGAAGTTGATAGGTGTGAACTTTCTATTAAAGCAGGTAAAAGCTATTGAACTGAGCAGACTCAGACATACCTGAGTTCCCTTCACTGTCATTGTCCCTATCAGGAGGGCCTAGGTGTGGTTTCTTGGTGGCCCATCCCAGCTCACCTCACAAAAACCTGCTTTGGGATGGAGGCAGAATTCACACATGCTCAGAACACTCAGCTTCACATCTCCAAGGGCATTCCCGTCCTTGGGTCTTTACTATATGTTATTATTACAATACTGCAATTAATTGGGGGCAGGCTGAGGTCTACGTCAGAAGAAGTTAATTCACCTGGCTTCTCCTTAGTGTCCTAAAGGTCTTTCAGGAATATGTCTACTTGTGCTTTGTTCCCCCACTGCTGGACAACAGGCTAGAGGAGAAAGAGCCTTGTCCTCCAACTTGGTAATGAAGTTATTATAATCTCACAACCTGATAATGAAGTTATTATAATCTTCATTTTTGCCAATGAAGAAACGGTGGGCCAGAGGCTTCAGTTAGTTACTCAAAATCAGACCCCTAGTAAATATTGTATTAAAGCCAGGACTTCAACTGTCAAGGCAAATGCCCTGTGTTCTAGGCCCACTGTGTCTTATTTCTGAAAGTGACTTTGAAAAAAATAAACAAAAACCCAACCCATTTTTTTCTAGGTAGCGGACTCAACCAAAAAAAGCTGTATAGGTCTCTTCACGTTATGTCAGCTGTTAAGTGCCTGGGTTGACACTTCAGGCCTGGTCATTCCAGCCACATAGATGTGGACATAGTCTCGACTTGGTTCAGGCCCAGCTGCTTCTCTGACTCACACTGAAGTGTAGTTGTCCCATCAGAGCACTTGCAGCATAATGGTCAGTGGCTCAGATGTTTTAAGACAGTTTCTTTGTCCTCCAGACATACAACTGTTCCACATTGAATAAAACCACATTTCAAGGCAAGTTTAAAGTTCCAGCTAAGTTGCTCAGTATGGTTGTTCAGGCTGTCTACTGCACTAGTGAGGCTGGCTAAGGGAGCAAATGGGGCTGACTCCATCCTGAGTTTTGCTTATCAGCCTACGTGCCCTGGCATGGGGTTTGTCTGCCCACCCAGAAGAAAGAGCACCTTTTTTTCTAACTGATGTGCAAAGCTCCCAGACCCAGCATTTTCTCTTACATATGATGCCTTTTGGAATCGTCCATTTTTCCATCTGTACATTTTATATATTGACATCATTCAGTCTTATAAAATTTTCATAACAGGCCTCCATCAAAAGCCTGTTCTGTATTTGTGTGGGTTTTCCTCATGGGTTAGTTAAGATGCTATAAATAGAAATTTTAAAAATGTGCTTCTTTTTTTTTTTTACCCACAAATGTGGTACTTTTGGCTGTTGCCCAACTCTGTCTAGTTTGGGAACTATGATTCCCCAGGAATTAAGAAATGCATTCTTAGCTTCCCTCTAATTGCTGGATTAGCACAACTTCCCACAGCTGAATTCCAGCCCCAAGGAAGAAATGTCTTAGATGGTGAGTTCCCAACCTGGAGCCTGTCACAGGTTGTGTCATATGTTTGCATTAGCTGGTCAAAAAGTAAGCAGGCTTTCCGGCCTTGCTCCCTCTCCTCCCCACACCTCCCTCTGGAGAGGCCAGTTAATGTCTAGACAGTGTCTGCTTGGCACTGCGCCTTTGAAGCACAATCTGTACAGTTCTGCAGCTCTGACTTGGTTCCTCTCCTCACTCGTTCACCTAGTTTTCTTAGTCAACCTTAAACTGTCTCGGGGGGACTGGCATGACCATGTACATAAGAAGTAAGTGAGTGAATTTATGAGACTGTCAGGATTCCGNTCTGATGTGGTTCCAGTACATTGGTAAGAATTAAAAATAATTTAAGCACCTCTTTGTTCAAAATAAATACAAAGCATGAAGCCCAGATTCTAGAAATGTTCTTGCTTAATAATAGTTCATCATATTGAAGTATAATATTTGAGAATCCTTCATCTTTTGATAGCCTAAAATTAGACAATATTTTACAAGTTCAACACTTGATCCTCATAACATCCCAGTGGAGGAGGACTCCTTTGTCCCCGCTTTACAGATGAGAAAACAGGTGCAGAAAGGTTGAGTAACTAGCTCAAGGCCATTTGGGTAATAAGTGATTGAGCCAGGGCTCAAATCCAGGCTACAGGGTGAGTGAGGTAGCTGGGGTTCTACAAAACTTTTCTGAAGGATCTCTTTATAGAATGGCGATAGTGGTGACACTTCCTTGAATTCCATATTCTTTCCAATCACACATTCCTTTCTTATCATCGATTTCTCTCTCTTCTGTTTTGATTTTCCTGATTTGGTTGGCTTAACACTTATACCACGGAGAAAGGCAATTTTTGGTGGAAGGGGCTCAGGTAGTGTAACATTTGTCAATCAAAGTGGACAAAACTAGTCAGGAAAGTTTAGTCATTTGGGGAGGAACATTTGAACAGCTTGAGTGGTCTGACATCTGACACGACAACTAAAAGTTGGATGCTTATAGGAGTCAGGATGGTTGATGGTTGTGAGGGGTCAGTATAAAGGGAAACTTTCTCAATTAACAGTCACCTTGACCTCCACTGGGGGTCCCAGGTGTATGTGATCCTGATGCTTTATTTCCTTTCTTTGGGAGTGAAGCTGAGGTCTGGCTGACACAGTTCTCCTGTGTTTTGTTTCAGAGGACTCTGTGTCGATGCTCTCATTGAACTGTCTGATGAAAATGCTGACTGGAAACTCAGCTTCCAAGAGTTCCTCAAGTGCCTCAACCCATCCTTCAACCCTCCGGAGAAGAGTATGCTTAACCTAAGAAACAGGGAGTTGTAGGGAGTAGGAGCATTTTGAAGGGGCCAAAACTGACGGAACTGTCCAGAGCGTGCTAAGAAAATTTCCTTCCATGATTCTAGATTAGGCCCCAGCCCAGCATCTTGATGGTGATGTTCAGGTCCTCAAATCTTTGGGTTGGTGGTAGCATTTGCTCAGATACGGCGTCTCTGAGGGACAGGCGGGTCTTGTCTGTGAAAAGGGTAAGGTGCCCAGACTAGCCAAGACGCTGTGTTCCACCTTTACTCTAAACGGTTGCCGCTTATTTCTGGTCCCAACAGAGTGTGCCCTGGAGGATGAAACATATGCAGATGGAGCTGAGACCGAGGTGGACTGTAACCGCTGTGTCTGTGCCTGCGGAAACTGGGTCTGCACAGCCATGACCTGTGATGGTGAGCTGTGCCTCCGGCAAGGAGNCCAGATACAGAGTTCAAAACAGTGGTTATAAGGATGCTCAAGGAACTTAGTGAGAACTTCAACAAAGCGATAGCAAGCATAAAAAAGGACATAGAAACCATAAAAAATGAACCAGTCGGAAGTGAAGAATACAATAACTGAAATGAAGAATGCACTAGAAGGAACCACCAGCAGACTAGACGAAGTATAGAATCGAATCAGCAACTTGGAAGACAAGGTAGCAGAAAACACCCAGTTGGAACAGAAAAAAGAGAAAAGAATTCTCCCCCTCCCCCACCAAAAAACAAAATGAGAATAATTTAAGAGACCTCTGGAACAACATCAAGCGTAACAACATTCACATCATAGGGGTACCAGAAGAAGAAGAGAGAAAGCAAGGGATTGAGAATCTATTTGAAGAAATAATGACTGAAAACTTTGCTAACCTGGTGAAGGAAATAAACACAAGCCCAGGAAGTGCAGAGGGTCCCAAAAAACATGAACCCAAACAGGCCCATATACCAAGACACATTATAATTAAAATGAAAAAGATTAAAAATAAAGAGAATCCTAAAAGCTGCAAGAGAAAAGCAGTTAATTTCCTATAAGGGAGATTCCATAACACTGTCAACTGATTTTTCAACAGAAACTTTGTAGGCCAGAAGGGATTGGAACAAAATATTCAACATGATGAAAAACAAGGACCCACAATCAAGGGTACTCTACCCAGTAAGGATATTTAAAATCGAAGGACAGATAAAGAGCTTCCCAGACAAGAAAAAGAGCTAAAGGAGTTCATCACCACCAAACCAGTATTACAAGGAATGTTACAGTGACTACGTTAAGATGGAAAAAAAAAAAAAAAGATAAAGATGTGAATAATGAAATGGCAATAACTGCATATCTTTCAACAATTGCTTTCAATGTAAGTGTATTAAATGCTCCAATCAAAACCATAGGGGAGCTGAATATATAAGAAAACAAAATCCTTATATGCTGCTTACTAGAGATTCATTTCAGATTGAAAGACACACACAGAAAGTAAAGGGATGGAAAAGGTTATTTCATGAAAATGGAAATGGAAAAAAACAAAACAAAACAAAAAAGCTGGGGTAGCAACACTTATACCAGACAAAATAGACTTTAAAACAAAGGCTATATAGCAAGAGACAATGAAGGACCCAGTAATTCCACTTCCTGATTTTATCCAAAGAAACCCAAAATGCTACTTTGAGGGGACGTGTGCATCCATTTGTTCATTGCAACACTGCTTACAGTGGCCAAGATGTGGAGGCAGCCTGGGTGTCCATCGATGGAAGAACGAATAAAGAGGAGGTGGTACATATATACAATGGAATATTGCTTGGCCAGAAAAGACAATGGGTTCTTGCCACCTGCAGCCACTTGGATGGACCTGGAGGGTATTGTGCTAAGTGGAGTGTCAGACAGTGAAAGATAGATGCAATGTGATTTTGTTTATATGTGGAATCTAAAGAACAAAATAAACAAAACAGAAACAGACTCATAGATACTCAGAGAACATTTTTATGGTTGCCAGATGGGAGGGGAGTTGGTGTGGTGGCTGAAAAAAGGGGAAGGGGTTAAGAAGTACAAATTGGCAGTTACAAGGATTGGGGATATAGGGGATGTAAGGTATAGCATAAGGATTATAGTCAGTGATACTGTAATAACTATGTATGGTGTCAGGTGGGTAATAGAGTTATTGGGGTGATAGATGGGAAGGGGTTGGGGCAGAGTGAAAAAGGGGAAGAGATTAAGAAGTATAAATTGGTAATTAAAAAATAATCATGGGGATATAAAGAACAGCATAGGGAATATAGTCAATAATATGGTAATAACTATGTATAGTGCCAGGTGGGTACTACATACACTTAATCGGGGGATCATTTATTAAACTATACAAATGTCTAACCATATGCTGTACACCTGAAATTAATATAAAATAATATTGAATGTCAACTATAACTGAAAATTAAAAAGAAGGGGAAAGGTGAAGAGGAATAAGAGGTCCAAATTTCCAGGTATAAAACAAATAAGCCATGGGGATGTAACGTACAGCATGGGGAAAATAGTCAATAATATTCTGATAGCATAGTACAGTTGTCAGATGATTGCTAGACTTATATACTTCTTCAAGTATATAAA